TTGGAAAACTGCTCCTTTGTGACCAGAAGCCATTCCATCCTATGGACTGGATCCCGAGGGAAGCAGAGAGGCTCTCCCAGGCCCCAGCCAGCGAGATGCTGAACAGGTCATCCGGGAAACGTGCAGCCCATCCTCACCACAGAGATCACCACTCGGTGTTTCTGCTGTTTGAGAACAGTTCATTCTGCCCCCGCCTGTGGTGACGGACATCCGTGCCGTCCTGAGTTCCACATGCACGAGTCAGGCCTGGCACTTCTCTGTGTGCAGCCAAGTGCAGCCCCGAGGAATCCCTGGAGGCCGGGCCTTCTGCCTCGCCAGCGTGGTGCCTCAGCTCCCAGAGTCCCTCCTGCTGGTGCGCCCCACACCGTCAGGGTCACAGCCCCACTTATTCTCAGAGCTCCCTGTGCCCCCTGCTCTCAACACCTGCATAGCGGTCAGAGTGGGCATTAGCCTGCAGGCGACACTGCACCTGTCTTTCTGAGGCTCCCGACATGCCTCAGGGACCGGGTCCAGTTTGGCGCCCCTCTGAAGCACCTGGCTCAGGCTGGGCACCTGGCATTTCCTTTCCTTAGCCTGGCATTTCCTTTCCTTAGCCACCTCTCTGCTTCCCAAGTCACACCATGCGTGTTTCCAATGCCTACAGTAGTCTCAAGTGCACGTGTGCTCACTAAACAATGCACACGCGAGGGAGTGAGTAGGTGCAAAAAAGAGACAAAGAAGACTATTTCTTGCTTTTCAGATGTCTGTAGAAAGTTTAGGATGCACTGTGATGCCGTAGAAGGGACACAGGTCCTGGAGTCGGGCCGGCGTGGGTTTGAGGTGCAGTGCGTGGCCTGCGTGGCCTGCATGGCCACAGGCAGAGCAGGGCCTGTCAGCAGCGGTTCTTCAGCTGTGATGCTGTGAGACTGCTGGCCACACCCCAGCGGCGCTCACCTGTGCTCCCTCACATGGGCACGGGGCGGCTGCTAGACCTGTTGAGAGCACTAGAGCCATGCATCACAGCTTCTAGCCCGCTGCCTGGCGGGACGCGGACCTGAGTGTGAGGTGGCGGGATCCTGCCGCCTCCCTTCCGCCTCCAGGCAAAGCCAGCCTCGGCTTCCTGTTGACGCGCCGGTTGTATCACCACTTCTCTGCTTATGAAATGGCCGAGTTGATAAAGGGAGAAGGGCTACCCAAAATTGTTCTTTTCTAGAGAGAGCCGTGAATATTTTATGAACCATGCGTGGAGGAGTCACCTTATTAAAGCGTCCCCTTTGATGGAGTGTGCGGCGGGCGCGGGCAGAGCATGCTTCTTTTCACAATCACTTGGAAGTCATCAATATTTCAAGGCGTTTTCTCTGCCCACCATTGGCCATATGCGGATCTGTCGCATCGATCACGGTGTCAGGACAAAGGAGCTTGCCTTGTTCTTACCAGGGAGGCACAGGCGCCACCGTCGGTGTCTTTCCCTTTCTGTTGCACCTCCGCTTTGAGTAAAATTCTGCACCGTCCTCGTCCGTGTACTGGGGCCCTTGACAAACTCCCCTCACCCAGGGGAGACGTAAGCAGGTGCGGTCCAGTTTCATATCTCGGGGAGGCTGGTTCTGGGGCTCTGCTTCAGGGCTGTGCTGAAGAGGGACTATGTTCTCTTGGTACAAGCACTAAGTAAGGCGGAGACTGGATTCAAGTAGCTCTATTTCTGTCCTTAAGCTTTACCCTTTTAGGAATCCGACATGCATGTAACCAAAAAAAGAAAATGACCTTTGTGATACATCCTTTTTTAGCACAAAATGCAGGAAAAATTTTGTTGGCCCACTATCAGGGTCCCCACAGGAGGCAGGTGAGGTTTTTGTGGGAGCACCCATGCAGGGTCCCCACAGGAGGCGGGGAGGGGGGGGTGGACGCAGCCAGTCAGGGTCCCCACAGGAGGCAGGTTGGGGGGTGGACGCAGCCAGTCAGGGTCCCCACAGGAGGCGGGGGGGGGTGCGTTTGGTACAGTAGTTATAGTGCTGCCTGTGATGCCTGTATCATGTCCCCCCTCTGCTTCTGATCCAGCTTCGGTAGGTAGCATGTGGTGGGTCAAGTTCTTGGGCTCCTGCCTCCTACATGGGAGACCCAGATGGCGTTCCAGGCTCCTGACTTGCTGCAGATTTAGGAACCAATGATGTTTAAGTTCATGTAGGACCCATAGATGTTTTTTAGGCGTGTAAAGACACATTCATGGTATGTGTGTGTCTGTCTTCATTCTGTCACTTTGTTGATGTATAAAGAAATGCTGTGTGTACACACGTGGTGTATGTGTGTGTGTACACCTTTTACATCTGTCTGTCTCTGCCCTCATATTTTATGGGTGCATGAAGCCCCACTGTATATCTACATGTGGGATGTTTGTGTGTGTGTTTGTACATCTGTTTCTGCCCTTACATCGTGTGGGTCCTTAAAGACACATGTGTGTAGGTGCATGTGGGGTGTGTGTGTGTCTAGCATCACATTTTGAAACTGAGTGCCTCCTGCTTGTCCTTCCTGGCCTCGCCTGTGGACCTGATGGAGACCTCAGGCGTTTGAAGTCGGGCTCCCATCTTCCCGCACCAGTGTCGTGCCTGGGGTGTTTCTGCGAGCCCCACCTGAGGGAGCCAGGGGCGCAAGGCCAGCCTCGCACTTCAGGCCTCCCTGCTGCCCACGGGACGGAAGTGCACACCCGCCAGGCCTGCCTCTGCCTCTGCCTCTGCATGCACTCTGCGCTCTGTGATCCTTGGATGCCTCGTCTCCCGGGAAGCGTTTTCTGAACTGGGTCCCTTCCTGTGGGGACATTTGCCTCTGCTCTGGGCCAGCTGGCTGCACACTCCTCCTGGGTGCCACCGAGGAACCCTGCAGTGCCTGTGGAATGGCATGCCGGCAGCCATGTCTCTGCTGCAGTCACCTTGAGGACAGGCCCACTCCACTTTGCATGCTGTTCTGGTCTCAGCACAGAGCACCCCACTGCTCCATGGTCACAGCTGAGCTGAATCTTTGATGAGTGAATAGCTGGAGGAGTGACCGTGCAAGGAGCCCTTCTTACCTCATATGGGTGTGAGCGTCTGTCATTCCTGAGTGCTGTACAGACGGCATTGCCTGTGACGTCACGGGAAGGGATCTGTGTTGACCCAGGCAGGAAGGCTGAGCGGGGGGAGGAGGGACGATGCCTGTTGGTGGATTTGGTGCCTGTCGTACAGTGGCCCTTGCTGTGGCTTCAGTCCAGGGCTCCTTTGAATCTCTAATAAGAGCGTGGATCACATCCACAAAGTCCCCTTTGTGATGTCCAGAGCTTCTGACATCCCTTGGAGCCCACGGAGTTCCCAGTGAGGGCTCCTGTTTTGGGCAGAGGTGGCATGAAGACGGATTGGAATTTTGATGAACGTTTGCTGTTACTGTACGCCGTGCCAAGCAGGCACTTTGCAGGCTGCAGGGATGTGAAGAGGAGTAACCTCGGCACCTGCAAGGAGCCGCTGTCTGTCAGCACCATTTCCGGTGCCTTTCTCTGCATCCCTCACCCCGAGACGCCAGCCTGGTGTACCATGCCTGGGACCCCAGCCTCCACTCTGACGGTGCTGTGGCCTTTGTTCAGGGGCTGAGCGAGGAAGCCGAGAGGCGGCACTAACCTTGCCTTTGTTCTGAAGGTTGAGCTGGGGCCCGTGTGATTCATCAGCCAAACATTGTCGTTGGTGTTTCTTTTTGATCTAGCCCCAGACTTCTCCTCTTAAGTCTCGTTACAAAGTCTGCCTTCTGCCTGCCAGTTTCCCTCCTGGAACAGCCTTAGCTCTTGCATGGTTCCCTCCCATCCTTGCTTCCAGGGTCCAGGGAGGACAGCATGGTGCAGTGTCCAGTGCTGGACTGCTGCCACTAACTGTCCCTGCCAGAGACCCCTGCCACTGCAGTCTGTCTCCTTCCCCGAGCCTGTCCCCACGTGGTGAGCCACGGCGCTCAGACATAGCTGCAGGACAGAGAGGGCATGAGGCAGGCAAGGAGAGAAGTGGCAAATCCGCACGGAGGAGGTTCTGGGGAAGTTCCGTCTTGAGCTAGGCGGACAGGAGAAAGGCAGACAGGGCCTGTTTGGGAAGGCAGCCAGGATGTTCACAGGGAGGGAGGGAGGCGTGGAAAGGCGGGGCATGTGGGCATGCTTCTCCACACGGGGCTGGTTCTCTCTATGAGGCTTGCATCCCAAGAAGTGTGGCTGTGTTTTTCTGTCTGCAAGACAGGGTGGCTAGAAAGTTGCAGAGAATGAAGAAGCTGCACTTAGAACCGGAAGGACTGATCAGCCCTGGGGAGTGAGGCCCACCGAGCCGAGTCGCAGGGAGGCAGGTCTCACAGTGCTGGCCGAGGGCTCTAGGAGAACCGAAGGTCCAGGATAAGTGCCCCGATGGTTTATCCTCATCCCAGACATCTAGAGAGCATTTCTGATGTGTCAGGCGCCGTTTGAGCACAGCCACTGCTTCTCTTAAATGAGGCCGCAAAGTGATGCCACCAGTGAGCACGAGATACCCCTGTGTCACAGCAAGGAGACAGGGGCCTGGTGCTGGGATTCCTCATCAGGAATGTGGTACTGATGGTCTTGGGTTGGGAGGAGAGGAGGGGAAGGGGGTGGGAGAGGGAGAGGGAAGAGAGGGAGGGGTGAGAGAGGGAGAGGAAGAGGGAGAGGGGAAGGGGTGAGAGAGG